CTAGCTCGACTTTGCGGCGCTTGCGGTGCCGGTACTTCTTCAACTCCCCGGAAGGGAGATTAGGTGATGGTTCCGAGGTAGGCTCCCTGGTGGTTTAGAGCTCCACCCTTCCATGAATCGCTCCCTCGCGCCCAAAGAGCGCTGAGCCGAAGTCGGCCCGCGAGGAGCGCTTCGCAGCGCAGTCTTTGGAAGCGCTATGCGAACCCGGCAATCCAGTCTACGAGTCCGCCCGCGAATATGAAGATGTCTTTCCGGATACGATCCCAGCTGAGCTACCAGCTGACCGAGGAATTCGCCACGAGATCGATCTCGTGCCCGGCTCGAAGTATTGTGTGACGCGGCAGTGGCCGCTCCCGCGAGATCAGGTCCAAGCTATCGATGACTTCTTCGAGAGCCGCCGCAAGGCGGGTCATGTGCGTGAGAGCACATCGCCGCACTCCAGTCCGACCTTCTGTGTGAAGAAAGCCACGGGCGGATGGCGCATCGTCCATGCCTTCAACAAGCTGAACGACGCTACCATCCCTGCCCAGACGCCGATTCCTCGGAAGGACATGGTGCTCGACGCAATGTCGGGTAGTGAGGTCTTCAGTGCCATCGACTTGACCGATGGGTTCTACCAAATACTCATGAGGCTGAGCGACATACCGCTCACAGCGGTAAGCACTCCCAGTCGCATGCTCTGGGAGTGGCTTGTTATGCCACAAGGCTTGAAGAATGCTCCCGCCACGTTCAATCGCATGGTATCCCATGTGCTGCGCCCGCTCCGCGATTTCGCACCGAGTTATTTCGATGACATCTTCGTACACAGTCGCGCTGAGGGAGGCCTCAGCGCGCTTGAAGTCCACTTGAAGCATCTGAGGCAAGTCTTCCAAGTGATGCGCGAAAACAAGCTGTATGCCAACTTGAAGAAGTGTATATTCTGCGCGCCGGAGATTCTGGTGCTTGGCTGCTTTGTGAGCAAGAACGGCGTCCGCGCCGTCCCGAGAAAGTGTTGTCGATATGTGCGTGGCCTACTCCACAGAATCCCACTGAACTGCGTCAGTGGCTGGGTCTCGCAAATTACCTCCACAAGTACACGAAGAATTACGCCGGATTGATCCAGCCGCTCTCTTCGTTGTTGAAGAAAGATGTGTCGTGGTCGTGGACTTCCACACATCAAGCCGCCTTCGACTCGGTGAAGAAGAGTCTCGCCGAGGCCCCAATCCTCGCGCTCCCGGATGACTCGAAGTCTTTTCACGTCGTCTGCGACGCGAGTGATTTTGCCATCGGCTGTGCGCTGATGCAATTCGATGAAGAAGGTCGAGAGCGTGTCGTAAGGTACCAGTCAGACAGATGAAGCCGGCGGAGCGCAACTACCCTGTTCACGACAAGGAGCTCCTTGCGATGCGCTACGCTCTGATCAAGTTCAGAGTGTACTTGTTGGGTGAAGATACCTTCGCGGTGTACACCGACCATGCATCGCTGAGGACAGCGATGAAGAGTCCTCATCTCTCCCAGCGGATGGCCCGCTGGCTTTCGTTCTTCTCTGAGTACAACTTCGTTGTCCACTACAAACCCGGCAAGAACAACATTCTCGCCGACGCTTTGTCTCGGCGTCCGAACTACGACCCACGCGGTGCATTGGGTCGACAAGCGTCGCTGGATGAAGACGATGTAGACGAGTGTGCCACGTGCGAGGCGTCAGGCGTCAACCTGACGAGCGTCTCCCCCGGTAATGCCACTTCGCGACGAGATCCGGAGCTGCTTACGACCATGACTCGATGTGCACAGTATCCTGGAGCATCTCCGCTCTCCAGCTCGATACACTGGGAGCCCTTTTCCCGCTCTGTACGAAACAAAATCCACCCGATATCGTCTCGAGGACGAGCTGCTGACGTACAGCATCGACAACTTCGATGCCCCACGTTTTGTTGTCCCTAACGACCCCGATCTGCGCTCACGGATTATCCATAAGTTTCATGATGCCCCGCTGGGCGCTCATCTCGGTCGCGAGAAGACATTTGCCGCTGTGTCACGCGACTTTTATTGGCCACACCTGTACAAATGGGTACGTAAGTGGGTGCGCACCTGCGAGACCTGCCAGCGCGTGAAACCTGCCTCGTCTTCGCAGGCTCCCTTACGTCCTCTACCAGTGGCCACCGAGGCCTGGCGCTCGGTGTCGATGGACTTCATCTTCGGGCTCCCACCCGATGCTAAAGGACGCTCAGGTGTCTTGGTGTTCGTAGACCGCTTCAGCAAGATGGTCCACCTTATTCCGGTGTCGGATGCGATCACCGCGGCAGATACCGCGGTGCACTTCCTTGATGCCGTCTTCGGTCATCATGGCCTTCCCGAATCTATCGTCTCCGACCGCGACCCGCGCTTCACGTCGGCCTTCTCGTCAAAGCTCTTCGAGCGACGTCAATTGTAAGTGACAAAACTGCTCTTGGCTCTGCAAAATAGGTGTTTTGATGACGCTGTAAGTGTTGATATAGAGACAATGAAGTGCTAAAGACGTTGGTACTGCCGGCGGCGTCGAGTCTGCGCTCAGCTATGGCTCGTAACGCGCTGCTGTGCGTGCAGGATCTGATCCTCTACATGGGATCGAAGCTAATGATGTCCACA